TGTTTATGACATCCACGCATATTAATTTTTCAAAAAGAAATTTTCAAATATGCTGGCAAACTTATATTGGAAAAAGAAACAATCACAATGGGGACGGAGGGGCGGAGATGCTTCCGCGCGCCCGTGCGCCCGCCTGCGGCCGTTGAAGGGGGGGCGCGCCTCACACGGGCGCCGCTCGGTCTTCTCCCTCTCACAACCGCTGCCGCTCTTCCTCGACCCCGGGCCACACGGCCCCGCCCATACCCCGGCGTACCTGCGCGGCTGAGCGGGAGAGGAACAAGCTTTGCTCCACTGCTCGGAGGAAGGAGAAAAAGCCTTCACGCAACTGCGTCCGCACACGCGTGCTCCGTCGCCGGTCTATATAAGCGCGACGCAGCCTAACTTGTTGCGGCCAGGTCCGGCAGGCTGGCGACCAATCCCGACTGCGTCCTCTGGGCTCCTCGAGCAGCCATTGGATATCGACTCAGGATGAAGGCGTGACTCTTGATTGGCTTTGACTCATGCCTATGAGACTGTGAGGATCTCGTTTCCCTAGTAACGGATTGGCATAGAGAGGGGCCAATTACTTAAAGGGTCGGTGGAAAGGAGGGCGGGAAGTTTTTTGACCGATATCCACAATGGCCAATAAATGCTTGGGGCCGCTCCCATTCGTTGAAACGTCTTACCCTGGGCGGAGATCCGTTTTCCATTGCATGAGCGGTTGCTCCACAAGGTGGGGCCCGTGTACTTTGGGGAAGTAAACCCCAAGCAACTAGGAGGTGGGAACGAGGGAGGCCAAGGAAGGCCTCGGCCAATCGCAACGCGAGAAAGAGCTGATTGACACGGGGGTTGGACGGCACCAAGGAGACCGAGCCCTAGGGCCCCAGTGCCTTCAGGGGCGGTTCTGAGCCTCTCCGGTCCGGGGCTGGGTCCTTTTTCCTTCTTTTCCTCCCTTGTTAGATCCGGCCCCTGCGGCCCCTCTCCCGCCTTTTCCGCAGATCGGTACCAGGGGAACCAAGTGGTAAACTTTCCCCTTGTTTGTTTCTTCTTATGACAACTTTTTATTTCCATGCCGAAGGGCACTTGCTGGCTTCCCCCCCCCCCCCCCCATTAGTCTGCACTAGCGCGGACAACTATTAAGGGAAAGCCAAGGAGAAGGTAACCCCCGTGAAAGAAGTGAAAAGTCGCGCGTGAGAGCTGCTGTTGAGCTGGAGAACGGACATTTCAGCCCTGCCGTTTGGGGCAAGTGCTGCTGCAGGTCGGCCCGAAGGGGCCGCGTGGGTGTTGCTGAGGTTTCCCCTTTCTGCTGTCGCCGAGGGGCGGCCGTTTGCAGACTCTCTGATCCGCTTGGGCTTCCATGCAACGCCCCGTGCGTCACGGCCATTGTCATTCGGTTTTCTAATCGCTGGGGAGGAGGGGGCGCTTATTTCTCCCGGCCATTCCGTCTTTAAAAGGTAACTTGTCAAACTCCTCTGTGGACACCCCCAGGATTTCCCGAAACAGTTCTAGGGCTCAGCGGCGCGCCGGCCGCGTCCAGTCCACGTCTCTGAGCGTATCGCTGGGCCCCCTGTTGGTGACCAAGAGCATTTTCCATGGAAATACAAAAGCACGCCTGGGGCCGTTCGCATTGCAGGCATGTGACCCTGCGGAAGGGGGGCTCCTGATAAGACTTAGCGGATAAGTTTTGCAGAGCCACGTGGAAGGGAAGCACGTGGAGCGTCTCTGTTGGGACAGAAAGGGGCGCGGGGCAGCCGCTCCGTGGCATCCGGGCGCGTCCCAGTTGGCCCCCCAACGCAGGCCTGGCCCCGGGAGCAAAGTGAGAGCGCCCGGCTGCCCCCCACCCACTCCATCCCCAGGCCTCACTCCGGCAGCGGCCTCGCGCTTTCAGCATTTATTGAGCTGCAGGGGCTGGAATCAGGGATGATCTAGAATCTAGATGCTGTCCCTGCTCGCTGTCACCCCTTTCAACAGACCAGAGTGCTGCGCTGCGCTGCGCTGGGCCCGGCGCTCCCCAAACCGGGGACAGGTGTCTTGAGGCTGTGAAGACACCAGAGGCAACTCAGCCCAGAGGAGAGAAGGTTTTCTGGAGGTAGGAACCTCCAGGAACGTGTTAGCCATGCTAAGGAATTTGAACTTTATTCTGAAAGCAATGGAGAGCTACTGAAAGGTTTCTTAAAGTTGGACTAAGAAATTTGCATTTTACAAGATGACCCTCCAAATTGAAACGCTAATGAGAGCAAATTGGCGCAACTTTAAATTCACAGGTTGGTCATTTAAACCCAAGTGGTCTGTGATAGGGGTCAAGGCTATTCTTAATTTCATGGGGGGGGGGGGGATTTTAAGTGATTACAGCTCTTTTTGTAAGGCTACTTGGCAGTCTCTATTAAATCGTGTATATCCCACTTCTTCGTTGATGGCCACTTTTTTTTTTTTTTTTTTACAAAGAGGCATGTACAGTGTGTACATTACAGTATCATCAGCTTTGTTAGACTATTTACACTGCAAAAGTAATTGCTCATCAGTTTACAAACTAACTGTTGATGTGCATGTAATATAGAATACTCTGCAGCAGTTTAAATTTTTTTATTTCTTTATTTGTGAGAGAGAGAGAGAGAGAGAGAGAGAGCAAGGGGGAGAGAAAGATCTATTTGTTGTTCCACTCATTTATGCATTCATTGGTTGATTCTTGTATGTGCCCAACCTGGGATCAAACCCCCAACCTTGGCGTATGGGATGACACTGTAACTGAGCAACCCGGCCAGGGCCCTCTGCAGCAGATTAAAAGAGAACGAGATAGAATTGTAGATATGGATCCGTATCCAATTGTTAACGGGGAAAAATCTAAGTGCAGAGGGAAAGTTCTAAATTTAAAACAATAGCCATTCCCCCTAGGGAATCCCCTAGGTTGGAA